TGGTATCCGAGACAATTACAAACGACTTTTTGATAAAAAATGATGCACAATCTGGAGATGCTCAAAGAATATTTGGACTATTTGCAAAAGCAGGATAAGAACGAAGAAACCGACAAAATTGAAGAGTCAGCTGGATCATCCGAATCTACTTTTGATCCTTTCGGGGACCATGCGGACAAGACCCAAATGACTTTTGAAGAAAGATGTCGGCCATATTTCAAAAGAAAGCAAATGAAACTGAAATGAAGATGAAATGCAAGACGAGATGATTCTATAAATAGATCCCAAATCAAAAAACAAATCATCGGTGAAACATTCTAGTGTAAACTCCTTAGAAAAATCTCTCAATCTCTCTATTCAACCACTCTTTGCATTCAACTACTTTTGTATCTTTCTCCAACTATTCTAATAAGAAGTACAAGGATTCAACAAACATCAGCTTCCGTTATCAAAGGCAACTCTAAATTTTCAGTAAGTCCAATTTTATACTAGCCTGGGTAGAAGTGGTATCAGAGCCACCTACCGATTTAGACTTTGAATTATTATTACTTTATTTGAATTACTTTCTATTTTAAATTTGCTAATTTATGCATTTATGTTTGCATATTTAATTAAAATTTTACTGAAATCATTGGTAAGACTTTGATGCCTTGTTAGACCGTTGGTAAGTCCAATGTAGGATGTTCCCGCATAGTGCTCAGTTGTTCCTGATTAGGTAAACTTTTAAATAAATATTGAACATGGCTGCATTTCTTAGACAATTAAAAATAGGATCTAATTCAAAGCAAGCTAATATAGTACAAAGTCATGAATATCATATGCCTATAAATAATTCAGATTAGACTATTCCAGAAGAAAAATTAGAACATATATATAGAATATGTCCTCTAGATTTCAAAGCAGTTCTATCAGTTAAAACACATGAAGAAACAATATCTATTCAAAAGAATATCAATCTATTCCATTATTAAATTATAGTACAATTCAAAAATATTTAAGCAAAGGATACCGATATATTCATATAGGTTTAATTCAAATTGCAATAAAACCTTTATTCCATCTAGGAGTAGATGCTCCAATATATTTAGCCTTAAGAGACACTAGACTCAAAAGATATAAAACTTCTTTACTTTCTATGATTCAAACCAATGTATGTAATGGACCCATATATTTTAACTGTGCTCCAAATTTCTCAATAGATCTAACAGACCCACATATTTTGAACTCATTAATATTAGATATTGATGGAATAAAGGTTTTATTGCAATTTGAATTAAACCTATATGAATATATCGGTATCCTTTGCTTAAATATTTTTGAATTGTACTATGATTTAATAATGGAATAGATTGATATTCTTCTTGAATAGATATTGTTTCTTCATGTGTTTTAACTGATAGAGCTGTTTTGAAATCAAGAGGACCTATTCTATATATATGTTCTAATTTTTCTTCTGGAATAGTCTAATCTGAATTATTTATAGGCATATGATATTCATGACTTTGTACTATATTAGCTTGCTTTGAATTAGATCCTATTTTTAATTGTCTAAGAAATGCAGCCATGTTCAATATTTATTTAAAAGTTTACCTAATCAGGAACAACTGAGCACTATGCCGGAACATCCTACCTTGGACTTCCCAACGGTCTAACAAGGCATCAAAGTCTTACCAATGATTTCAGTAAAATTTTAATTAAATGTGCAAACATAAATGCATAAATTAGCAAATTTAAAATAGAAAGTAATTCAAATAAAGTAATAATAATTCAAAGTCTAAATCGGTAGGTGGCTCTGATACCACTTCTACCCAGGCTAGTATAAAATTGGACTTACTGAAAATTTAGAGTTGTCTTTGATAACGGAAGCTGATGTTTGTTGAATCCTTGTACTTCTTATTAGAATAGTTGGAGAAAGATACAAAAGTAGTTGAATGCAAAGAGTGGTTGAATAGAGAGATTGGGAGATTTTTCTTGGAGTTTACACTAGAATGTTTCACCGATGATTTGTCTTTTGATTTGGGATCTATTTAGAATCGTCTCGTCTTGCATTTCATCTTCATTTCAGTTTCATTTGCTTTCTTTTGAAATATGGCCGATATCTTTCTTCAAAAGTCATTTGGGTCTTGTCCGCATGGTCCCCGAAAGGATCAAAAGTAGATTCGGATGATCCAGCTGACTCTTCAATTTTGTCGGTTTCTTCGTTCTTATCCTGCTTTTGCAAATAATCCAAATATTCTTTGAGCATCTCCAGATTGCATCATCTTTTTTATCAAAAAGTCGTTTGTAATTGCTCGAATGCCATATAGACAACTTTTTCTTTGTCTTTTCTTTTTGGAGTGGTTGAGTGGTTGTCATTTGTGTAGTGGTTGAAGTGGTTGGCTGACTTGTCCACTTGAGTTTGTCTCCGGTGGTTAGAAATCTTTCACATTTGCTTGATCTCCAAATTCTTGATTGAATTCTGTCCACCATTTAATTTTGAATTCTCTAACTAGTGACATTGGAAGTGATTTTTCTAACTCTTGATGAATTTTGAAACTCCAGCAAAAAATCCATGGTACTTTGAACTCCATATGAAATAATATTGGCCTTATATACTCTTCCCCCTTTGCTTTTTTGAGATATGTCTGAAATCCCATGGCCACATTTGGAGGTAGAATTTCTTTTTGGGGGCCGAACCATTGCCACCAATGATTAAACCAAATTGAAATTCCCTGTTACAACTTTCTTTGAATGTGAAGAACCATGAATGGTTGAATGGTCTGTATAAAAAAGCACGATACCATGCCATTTGGTAATCTTGATATGTAAATCCATCTGGAATGAATCTTACTGAGAATAATTTTTTGGAATAAAGAGAAGTCCATTCATTAGGTGAACAAACTTTCTTTATTATACACTTTGAATGGCTAATTATATTTGGATTTTTTCTGTCTGGAATGGGGAATATTTCTACAGATTGAGTATCTATAGAGAATTAATTCATAATAATCCAAATTTTTTGAAGGATCATCAGGTTGCCAATAACACTTTTGAGGAAAGATTCTTTGAGTAAGCTGATTGAGTGTAGAATATAATGGTATTTCTTGGAATCTGGTTAAAGTAATATGCTGATGGAATGGTTTAGTAAAGTAGGTATTTTCAATAAATTTTTCTGGGGTTTTTGGCTTTTGTTGAATTGGTCTTATTTGGGATGAAGTTGGGGTGCAAATAGCTTGACTGTAAGTTAAGGCTGGAAAATCTTATAATAATTGAAATCTATGCAGTAGTTATGCTTAATAGAAAATTATTAAACCATTTTTACAGTACATAATTTCTCCTAAAATTTGTAACATTTACCATGACCTCTAACCTTGACATCGTTATTTAATTTACCTTCTAAATTTAATTTAATTTTCTTATATTAATTGTTATACTAATTTTATCATTTTTGTTATTATATTATTTCTCATTTTGTTTAGGCTTTTACTCTTATTATTTCTTGTGTCTCAGATGTAAATTTATTAAAACTTTATCATCTTATTAGATTCATAGGTGTTAATTTATAAAAATTTTGATACATAAACAAGTAATATTCTATATATAACTAGGAAGATTTGTTGTTATTATTATACAAACTTTCAAACTTTTCAAAAATTGAAAATAATTAAAAACTTATAGTATGACAAAATTTTATTACATATTTTACGAGATTATGTGAAAAGTCAAACTTTTTCCATAGTATTTTAAAATATGTAAATAAATTTTTTCAAATGATAACTATAATCTTGTATTATGCAGGTATATTATGAGTACTTACTAACTAAGGTACTAAAAATTAATCATTAATAAAACATCTTATCATTATTTCAAATAAATTCCCTAACACTAGTTTGAAATGTGTTTTAAAGTAAAATAGTACATGTGTCTCATAAATCAATAAGTTTTGATTATTAATCAATTTTACCATATTATCAGTAAGAATTACTATTTATGTATTAAAACTTACTATTACTTGAATTAAACTTACACTATAAAAAGTAAGTTTGGGATATAAAGTAGTAATTTATTTATTTAAAAAGTAAGTTTAATATTTATTTCAATTTACATTTTGAAGTATAAAAGTTACTAATTTATTACTGTTAACTTACTATTTTAGATGGAAAACTTACATTCTTATTTTTAAGTGTTATCCTATTTAGGTGGATAGGCCTATCAAATAATCAAATGGCCGCTAAAAGTAAATAAAAAATAAAACGAAAATGGTCATATAAGTGTTATCCTATTTATGTTTCAAAAAGTAAATCGAAATAAAAATGAAAGTTACTTTTTTAAAAATTAAATTACTACTCTACATTCGAAACTTAGTTTTGTGGGGAGTAAGTTTAGTTCAAGTAATAGTAAGTTTTTATAGATTAATAGTAAATCTTGTTGAAAGAATAGTAAATTTGGTTAATCATCAAAACTTACTAGTTTGTAGCATAAATTTACTATATTACTTAAAGAAACTTATATGAAACAAGTATTAGGAAGTTTATTTAAACTAGTGCTAATTTTTTTATTAATGGTTGAAACTTAATATTATAGTTAGTAGTTGTTGGTAACATAAATGTATAATAATGATTGTATGTTTCATTCATAAATGTTTTGCGTTTTAAGCATTTTAATAAATGTATGTATCATTTATAAATGTTATGTGTTTTAATAAATTTATTTTCTAGGTCACAAGTATAAAAGGTAAAGTGATCGTATCTAATGTAGCATAATCTTTTAAAATTATAGTAAATTTACCCATATATTAAGTTTCGTGAGTTTCAAATATATTTCGTATCATTCACAATATGGATTTACATGCACATTTTTTATGAAACTTACTTTTAATTGGCAAATAGTATGTAAATTATTATAAAATATCATTTTATAATAATCATAATTTTTATAGGTGAATGGTATTTTAGCTGCTAAAATTGTCAATTTATAAATGATCAAATCTTACTACTTTATGATGATTGGTTTACATGCAGCAATGATTGTGGTGTATACGTTATTAACTTCATGAAGTCATCTGAAGTGGAACAAATGAGTTCAATCATGGTATAGTTTTATAATTTAATATGAGTTTTTTGTGGTGAATAATTATGAATGTCAATAAACTGTTATCTTTACTTGCACGGTTAACTCGCTAATTCTAGTTGACTTTGTCATGAAATTTCAGTTTCACTCCGAGACTGAACGTTTTAACATTGCAATGGAATTGGTCCCTACACCCTAAGAATGCATGGGGATTTCTTCTAGAAGATCATTTGCAGAGAGATGAACAATGAAAGTATTCATAGTTGAAAAAAATTCTAATTTATCTTTGCTATTTCTAGCTGAATAACAAGTACCTAGTAAGGCAGAAGAACGTTTCAAGTCTTGTTGCCACTTTATTTTATGGGCCCTTAATTTTGACGTGTACACAAACTTGCCATGGACTGCAGTCAAAGCACTACTGCTTGGTTCTAAGCTCAAACTGCTCCTTTTAGCTCAAAATGCTCAAAACCCTGTAGCGCTCGAGTGCATATGACAAACACTAATTTGCTGCGACACTAATGGGACATACCTGTGATAAAGGGAACAGTGATCCATCCACCTTTTTTTTGGTGGGATTGGAAAGTTGACCTGCTTGGTTCTTCTGTGTCCATGGATGCAGGAATTAATTGTTAATATGAGGCAGGTGCCTAGCTAAAAGTTTGTCCCATTATTCCTAATTGGCAGATTGTCATTAAATAGAAAGGCGGATTGTCGTTTACGAGTAAAAACTTCTAATGCTCGCAGAAATAAATAAGAGTACGTGCTCCTACAACAGAATGGATGTTACACCGCCATTAATATGGTAAGGGCATCCTCCTGAACTTAAATCACAATTAGAAACGAACCATATGCTTGGTTTCAAACTCAAAAACTCATTTCGAAAGCTCAGAGTTTCGAAATTCCTGCTTCATGGATACAAGCAAATCACATAAACGCACAGGTACTTGGTTAACACAGCAAAAAACTCCACGGGAAAGTTCATGTCGTGCTTATTTCTTAGAAGGAAATTGCAGACTATTAGTATAGCATAGCAGTCACAACACTTCCACAACACATCTTCAAGTTTTCCGAGATCTATCCAGTTTAAAGCCTAAAAAACCGTGTGCTGAGTATTGTATAACATGAGTATTTGAGTTGCTTTTCGCGTTCTGCTCATCAAGTAAGCCAGTCCAATTTGAAGTAAACAACAAAATCTACATGCACAAGACATTTGATATGAAATTGGTAGTTCAAAATAGGAGAAAACGGCTCATTTTGAGCATCAGAATGAATCTACTCACCTATTTATTTAATACTTGGAATAAACAAAGGTCCATCTAATTCAAATTGGCCAACAAGTCACTAGAAATAGGATTTCACCTCCTTACATTGAAATGCAATGCTGGATTTAAAGTTTCCATGCAACGTGTTCTTCCACCTATGGCCTTAAATATCGGAATTCCAGCCTAATTATAATGAACCGCACTTGCAGCAACTAGATTAATCTGAAAGAAGCAACAGCCGGCGGAGAATCAGAGCATATCATCATAAGGAAAATCAATCATTTGATGCTTACATCGGCTTATGTCTCTATTGCGTGTCCAGGTTCATGCATGTAGTTTGAATGTTTAACCACTAACAAAAATAGCAACCTGAGATTTAATATCATTTACTAACTTTTAATAATTGATACTTACGTATCAAATTAAGCTGGCAGGACACTAGATATAGCTATCTAAGCATGACAAGATTACATGGCCAAGAACTGAATTTAGAGCACAAAGACTTTGGCTTCAGAAATCTAAAGCAATCAAAAGGCTAGTAACTTGATTTGAGAATTTGATCACCAGCATCAAGGGCTCTGATATCACTATCAAAAGCTTCAGTTTGGATTGAAATTTCTGGTTTACAAACCCAAGAGCACTTGGATGCTAACAATATCTGAAATTTGATCACCAAACTTTTTTCCAAGCAAGCTGAAATTATTCACATTAAAACAAGTAAACACCAGAAATTGCAAACTAAGGAGATTATGTTCAGATTTACAATCAAAACGTATTAAACTACCTTCGAAGAAACTTAAATCATCCTAAAAGCTTTGAGCAAAGACGTGCAAAAACATTTGTAGTCTCTCAAGAATAAAATTCCTTAATGGTCTTGGCTGAAATCTGGTTCATTCACTACAAAACCATCACAAGATTTGTATTAAAAAAAGGCCACAACAACACATAATCATAGCAAATAAATAACATAAAACTTAGTCGTGAAGAAGGAAAAATGTACCTGAATACTTTTCGTCTCCTAACAAGCTAGTGTTTTGTACATGACTTTGGATTAATGAAGGATTGCATGCCCACATTAATGCCTATACAAATGCAAATAGAGCACCATTATATTTCATGCCTTCACACAAAAATAAATAAAAGCAAGCTATACATTACCTGACCAGGAGGAATGATCTGAAACCAATTACTATCCATTAATTCCTTATTGCATCCATGCTGTGAATCTGATTGCAATAGGCCATCGGATGATCCTATCAGATTCAAATTTACATTCTCAACATAATTGGGTGCCCCAACATGATCATAATTGTGAGTTTCATATGCATCTGTGCACACCTTAGTACATTTTCGTCTATCATGTCCAAATGACCTGCGGGAAAAAAATTGTCAAGCACAATCCATAAACAAAAAGATTGAATTTATAAAGGCGTATATGAAGTGTACATATATAACTAACATTTTTGGCCTTCAAACATAAAGCCAATGAGTGGATGAAATTTAGCATTGCTCATTCATATCTGGTTTTGCAAAGCTATTCTAACCGTAGAATAAGTCAATTTTAAGAGTAGGTGATTACTTGCAATTTTTACATCGTCTTCGCTTTCGCTTGTGAGTGGACTGTTTTGCCTTTTGTCCCTTTGTAGCAATAACAATTGGACCAAGAGAAAGTATGGACCAAAGTGGAAACCTTTGCCTGGGAATTCAATCGTATCGTTGGAATTGAGAACTAAATAAGAAGAAGACAGATGACTTTAAAGTGATAGGTGATACCCGAAAGTGTTTCAGGAACCCAAAACCGTTTTCAGCAACCCAAAATCATTTTCAGAAACCGGTGATTTTTTTACTTAAATATGTACATTTTTTACTTTTAGTATTAGTAAGTTTAGTTTAAACATAAGTAAATTTTGTCAAATAATAAGTAAATTAAATTACTCAAAGTGTAAATTTCTATTTCTGACTAAAACTTATCTTTCAGGCATATACTTACTAGTTTTAATTAAAAACTTACTTATCTTCTCGACTTGGCAACCCGTTTCTTTCTAGGTATTTTATGATTAGAACTCCATTCTCTCTATATTACAAACCATCATCAAACTAATTGAAAACCTCAATTCTCATATAAACCATTCATCTGAATTTTGTTCCAATCAACCCATTCAACAGATTTATGTTCCAGTCTAATCGTTATGATATAGCAATGGCATTAACAAGCTATTTTGACTCTCCCGGTAAGGGTTTACGTATTAGTAATTTTTTAGGAGGAAGATGAGTTATTCATATGTCCAAAATATCGAAACAACCAGCATAATCTAATCCTTAGTTCAATGAAAGTCACAAATTTGCGGGTAGGTAGATTAGATTATGTTGAATGCCTTTGGCTCTTTACAATGAAATTCAAAATTTTTTCTCATGACAGAGCAAAGATGGTGATATAATTGATTGTCTATATCTATCAACAACCAGCATTTGACAATCCTTTGCTCAAAGACCACTGGATTCTGCAGGTTTGCCCCATGCAACACCACTCAAAAGAAAAATAAACAAAAAAAAAAGCAAAAATATGAAGTAGTATAACACCATAATTGATTGATGGTCGGAAGGAAGCTATATGTCTTTCTTTTGCAGATGAGACCAAATTATCAACCAGAACTGGGATTTACTGAGAATAAATTTTCCAACATTAAGTCCACTAACAATGAGCTTGAACAGAATCCAATCAGTCAGTTGTTGCAATTGGCCAACACAGTTTTCAGGAACCATTGTTTTGCCAAAAAAAAAAAAAATAGCACTTACTATTTAGAAAAAAAAAAGCTACTTAGGATTTTCTAAAATAAATCTATGTGAATGTCACTCTGAAAGTTCTGTCTGCATTATCCGTACTGAAGATTTAACTGCTGGAAATAAGCCAAACCTTTGTCGATGAGAAACATGCTTAATGTTTGAGGGCCAATTTGAAACAATGTTCTTGTTCTTCCGCTCGTTTTCTCTTTTTTCTATTTTTCCCTAAACTTTTCTGTCTCGTGTGGGATTTTTTAGTCTGTAGCTGCAGTAGTTCGAGAAGAAAAGCATTATGCATGGGAGCCCCGAGTTGACCGAAACCCAATGAATTTAGCTCATCTCAGCTTTGGATTACAGGAGGCTCTTGCGATTCAGATTTAAACGTCATTGAAGCAGGGTGGCATGTAAGTTTTCAACGAAGTATAGTTGTTCACATGATCACAACTCTTTCAAGTAGTGCAAACTTATAACGATAGGCACTCAATGAACATCCGTTAGTGAACTTAATTTACACCAAAACTATCGTATGAATACGTACGTTCATATTTATTTGGACTCTTTTATTTCAACATTGTCCATGTTTAATTTTAATTTATTTTTTAAAGAAACTATCACATAAAAGGGCACCTGTTACACACGCCTTTTTTTTTATTTTCTTCAAAATAGCATATATAAAATGATCACTTAATCATTCTATTAATTTTTTGTGTGTCTTAATTGGACGACAACAGGTTTTTTTCCAGAATTATATGGAGATAAAAGAACAAGTTTTTTCATTTATTGGACTGTAAGCATCCCACATTTGTTGATAGTTTAAAATTAAATTAATCACTTTCCCTCGAGTCCTCAGAATGCAGTTAAAATATGACATCATGTATTTATCAGTCTGTCTTCCATCCAACAATGAACAGAGGAATAATTTTCGATCAACAGGATGCTACAACTTGCTCTGTCCAGGCTTTGCTCAAACCAGAACTGAATAAACATTGATCTTTATGTCCTGCTCCTTGATATTATTAGGTTGGTTTAGTATTTGAAATATCATCTCCCTTTTAGTGATCCCTCTTATTTCTGAAATCTTAACTGCTTACATTTGGAAACTGTTCTATGAATTTACTCTCCTTTCCTGACTGAAGAAGAGGGAAGATGTGATTCTACAAAATCTACATGTATCATAGGATGGTAATAAGAATTGCTGCTACAACACAGATTTACAAGAGTAATAATGGCCAAATTTCCGTGGCATTGCAAACGTTACAATGGAGTAAAAAATTCAAGAGGCTGATAATAAATTTCCATAGATGGCCAAATTTCCGTGGCATTGCAGACGTTAACATGGAGTAAAAAATTCAAGAGGCTGATAATAAATTTCCATAGAAACAACAGATTCGCAACAATGATTCTAGATCA